GAAGAGGAACTTTACATGCCGTCATAAAAAAGAATTTTGTGTTGCCAGTATAGCATGGGCACTTCTGTGAAGTATAAACTCTACTTTGATATTGCTCATTTCACACTAATGAAGTTGAGAAAGGCATGAACCAGATCCTCTCTGCTCTTCACCATTCATATATCATGCTAAAATGCCTCATTACGAACATGTCACCAAGGTTAACAGAAAAGAATTGATCAACAAACACTTGCACACATCACTATCTCTGTCCAGAAAAAATCAAGAAAAAAACTGTTATGGCCATATTCAACCTTGACACATGTTCAATATAAATATATAAAAAATAAAAAACATCCTTGACAACAATTTTCCTATTGCAATTTCAAACAACCATTTCATAGCACCAGATGCATGCTTTTAGCATCTTCATTCAACAGCCAAGAAGAAAGATGCAGATTGGAGTTGAAATTTATTTTCAAAATGCTTTCAGACATTGAGGGATTAAACAAGAATTTTTATTTCCACAGGGAGACCTCTAGCAATAACCTGATCCAATTATTTGCTGAAGTTTAAAATGAAGTTATCCCTTTATAACCTTTGATCGACATGATTAATGGAGAAAGCACTGTTATGGACTTATTGATGTAATTATATGTATAAAATGTTAATATAAACATGAAATAGAAATTAACATGTCCCTAGCCCTGAATTTTACGACTTTTGCATCTGTCAAGTTAGAGAAATAGTTTTGTAGTATCAACTCAGTGGGAAACAATTCCTTTAAAATGTTTCCTAGTGTTTATCAAAACAGTAATCCACATATATAAATGCAATAATATATATATATATATATATATATATATATATATATATATATATATATGCATAATATATAGATGGACATATATATATACGCATCAATATATAGAAGAATATCAATCCCAGCTAGCTAATGTCAGTTCTCTGGTGGATGCGGGGCGCCTTTCATTTCATGTGTGTTTTTCATATTTGTTGTTGTGTCAGAATGAGTGCAGGTCTGTGTGAGTGCTTGGGATAAATGAATGTTTGTATGTTATTATAGTCCCACATCAATTTCGTCCAGTTAACAGATATTTCTGCCATATTTAAGGATTGTGGGGGTTTTATTACTAACATGATTTTGTTTAGTTTCTTGTAAATAGATTATATTCATATTGTACATACTCATTGGGGATTTCTTTAACTTGTTGTTTCATTCTCCTTCCCCACAGATGACGATTTGTACATATGGGAACTATTTAGGATTTTCATAGAGACAATGAGGTATTATGGGGGATGTAGTAAGAAAGGTAAGTAAGAGTGTGTTGTTTTGGTGTTAGGAATATTGTTTGCATGTTTGGGTCAGTCTTTGTGGCGAGCTAAGTTTAAAGTTGTTGCAGACTGGTGTATGTGTATTAGGTATCAGAAGGTTATTTTATCGATCGGGTCAATGATGTTGGTGTTCTTAAGCATTCGTCCACAACAAATTTAGAAACATGAATATCGAAGACAGATCATTCAAGATAAATCAAAGTGAAAACAACGTAGTTAAAGACATATAACAATAAACATGGATATGGAATAAAATATACACAAGTGAATCAAAGGTTGTTGAATAAGTGTGAATGGTTGAATTGAATTATGTAGAATATTTATGTCAATTTTCAATGTGTATAGAGTTTTTATTAAGATTTGTGTGTGAAATTAAACTAAGTGAATATTCACGTACAAAAAATGTCTTCTGTGGCAGTTCAGTTATGCGTGTGTTTGTTTGAATTGTTGTCCAAAACTGGTGCGAGTTGTGTACTTTTAGTTGTTCTGATGTTTGATTGAATGTTTACGAATACTTGTTAATAGTGAGTTATTATCACTTTTTAATATTGTAAGAAATTGTTCCTGGTCGAGCGAAATGCTGCGTGTGTTGAGTCTGCGCGGCAAAAATGTAGCTGGTTACGATTTTGACTGGCGTGGATTAGTTTGGATGAAATTCTGACTAACTTGAATCGATTTGGACGCTTCTATTTATTTAGTTCTGGTTACAGGAATCGGCTCAAAACGGCTAGGCACGAAAAGACATTTTCGCATGAATTTGCTACAGTTTTAGAGGTTTGAGCCAATGGAATGTCTAGTTCACTGGAACTAAGGTGTTGATTGGTTAATAGGTAATTTTGTGGTAGAGTATATTATTCCAGAGGGGTGAAAAGGTATGTATGGATTATTCCATCAAAGTTAAGACAGATGATGACCGTCGTTTTCCCCTTTTTAGACCTTGTGCCATATTTTCTGTATTTTTAACAGAAATAAATGTAAAGGCAAGAAACTGATAATATTTAACAGCCCCTCTCCACTAGGGATGTATGTGGCACAAGGCCAAGTTTACTGTGGGTTTTTCTGAGCCTAAATGGGTTCAGGGCCTGTCTACCTTTCAGCAAAGCCTCGTCAGAGTTCCTGTCTGCCCAAGGCAGAGAGTTCAACAAAAATGAACAGTCTGGTCGACTTTTCCCAAAACAAATAGACTAATAGATCCCCAGAGAGAGAACACATGTTTATATAGAACTCCGTAGGGAGAACCCATTTCAACTGTAGGTGAATAAGGTCAACTTATTAAAGAACAAGTTTACATTAGCAAGAGGCTAATGTAAATTTGTGTTAGGCAGTGAATATACATTTGTGCTATTTAACAACTTAATACCTATGTCGAATTGCAAATAGTTGTGTTGGGATTACTATGAGTTTGAATTTGTTATCAGAAGGTTTTTATATTAAGATGGTTAGTTTACGGGCATGTTCACCATATTAATCCGCAACAATATAGAATATAGACATTCAAAAATGAATCAATCACAAGGCAATTGAGTAAGAAACACCGATTATGAAATTTCAATAAAACAACATGCATTTATGTACAATTAATATACAATTTGAAAACTTGTAGTTTGATAATGCAAGAAATTGACCATTGGTAAATTGAGTTTCTTATTGATTTACAGTTCGAAATTGTTCAAGTGTTTAATAACTGGTCAAACAGAGTTAAGTGGAAAATATTATTTATACAGAAATTTGTGTAGTTTGTATGCGTGAATAAAGTAGGAGTTTAATTCTCTAAATTCTCCAGAGTTGTTTACCTTGGATTGTTTAGATATTTGATTGAATATTTACGAATACTTGTTAGTAGTGAGTTATTATCACTTTTTAGTATTGTAAGAAATTGCTCCTGATAGAGAGAAATGCTGTGTGTGTTGAGTCAGAGAAATTTGCGCAGCAAAAATGTAGCTGGTTATGATTTTGACTGGTGTGGATTCGTTTGGCACTTCTCCAGGATGAAATTCTGACTGCCTTCAATCGATCTGAACGCTTCCTTTTTATTTGGTTCTGGAAGTAGGAGTCAGTTCCAAATGACTAGGCGCAAAAAGATATTTTGCATGAATTTGCTACAGTTTGAGCCAATGAAAAGTCTAGTTCACTGGAACTAAGGTGTTGATTGGTTAATAGGTAATTTTGTGGTAGTGTGTATTATTCCAGAGGGGTGAAAAGATATGTATGGACTATTCCATCAGTTGTTTCTGTAAATTTTGTGATGTAGTTATTGAGTTCAATCACTGGACCAGATATTACAGGCATAGATTAAGTGGAAACTCAGTGGACAATAACTTAGCAGAACCCAATACGAGCAAACTGAGACATCCCTAGATACATACAGCTGAGTGAGAACGTTTTACCAACTATAGTTTAAATGAAAGGTTCACTTCAATATTCCCAGAAGGCTATCTGGATGAACAGATACTTTCAAAAAGTGGAAGAGTACAACAGGCAAAATGTTGTGATAATAACAACAGAGATGAGGATAATAGTCTAAATATAAATAACATGAATAATGATAACTCTTCATCCCAGAAATTCAGACAGAAGGCAATCAGGTAATATGAACAACAAAGATGAGGATAATAGTCCGAATATAAATAATGTAAATAATGATAACTCTTCATCCCAGAAATTCAGACAGAAACTGATGGTTCAATTTACTGTATCAATAAACAGGTACAAATGACAAACAGCCAATGATAGACAAAGACATATACAAGCACACACTGTTTGCCTTCTCTCAAACAGAGATTCTGGGATAAAGATGTATGCAAGCAGTTTGGCTTCCATCAAACGGACAATCAGGGACAAAGACATATGCAAGCAGTTTGGCTTCCATCAAACGGACAATCAGGGACAAAGACATATGCAAGCAGTTTGGCTTCTATCAAATGGACAATCAGGGACAAAGACATATGCAAGCAGTTTGGCTTCCATCAAACGGACAATCAGGGACAAAGACATATGCAAGCAGTTTGGCTTCCATCAAACGGACAATCAGGGACAAAGACATATGCAAGCAGTTTGGCTTCCATCAAACGGACAATCAGGGACAAAGACATATGCAAGCAGTTTGGCTTCCATCAAACGGACAATCAGGGACAAAGACATATGCAAGCTGTTTGGCTTCTATCAAATGGACAATCAGGGACAAATAAGTATCCATATATTTTCTGTTTGCCTTCCATCAAACAGACAATTAGCAGCAAAGACATATCCAGGCATATACTGTTTGCCTTCCATTAAACAATCAGAGGTCTTCATTGCAACCAGTTAATTTATGCTACAAAATGTAACAATATTTTAAAATATTCTGAAAAAAAAAAAAAAAACTTACCCAGAAGAAGAAATTAAATATGAAAAGGACATATTTGAGAAACAAGCAACTGCAACATCCATTTGTTCTTTTTTGTGTCATCTTTGAAGATTTTCGCTATTGGATGCACACACAACTGAAGATCTGAAAAAAAAAAAAAAAAAAAAAAACAGATGCAATCATGAGGACGTATCTATACACTGGTATGTACCAAAAAACAGTGAATTCACTCTAATAAGGATGTATCAAAAATATTTTCAGTTTTTACAGATCTTTACTCCAAAGTATATTTTATATCTAAAAATTCACTATATAATTCCTACAGTCAAATTACACTGAAAACACCAGTTCTAATTTGATCACTGAAGTTAAGCCATGTTGTGCCTAATCAATACTTAGATGTGGAACCACTTGGGGACACAGGGTACTGTAATCAATCTCTTGCCATCAGAAATATGTACCAGCTTAAAATAACCTACAAACGGTTGATAAACTGTAAAAAACCAGTCCATCACTATCTAGAAATACATTGTGATGATATGCTTGGCCATATTGCCAGTGATATAATCCTGAGATCGTTAAGGGTTTTGGGTCTCTTAGTATCACATCCCTTGACCCAGTTGGTATTGATCAAATACTATTGAAAAATATCATATATAGAGCATAACATAAGCTTTCAACAGAAAAACCGTTTCCATTATTTTAAGTGTGGTGACTTGTTACTTAAAATAAAAACTAGAAGTGGATGACCACCAATTATCAATCATAATACAAGATAAAGAGAAAAACATGACCACCAGTATCTGGGTAAGTAAGAGTTAAGATCACTAAAAGATACCATATGTAGGATATTGCATAATATTACAACCCCCACCCCCCAAACTCTGGTTCCTACATTTTAATGTTTTCCAACAGCACATCAGGAAGTACAATTTAAATTTTTACAATATGGCTGACTTTGAGGCTTTCTTATATACACAGCCAGTAAATCCTCCAATCTAATGCATTTCTGTGCTCGCTGCCCTTGATAAGAAAGGAAAACTCCAAGTCACTGGTTTTCTCAATCCTATTGAGAAGGTTATGAGTGGTTATTATAATATATTCAAAAGTATGGCTTGATTACAAGGACATCATGTCAGTGTAAGATCTTAATATTATATATGGTTGAATGAAAGTAAAACCTGTAAACTGGTCACATGATTTATGTATATGTATTAAACCTGTAAAAAATTAAAAATAAAGAAAAGAATGTGAATAGCTAGCTGCAGTGGTCAGCAGAAGCAAAAGTAAAACAAAAAATGCTTCTACTTAGGTCCTGTCATCCTTCTGTACAGTCAGAGTTAATCAATTTGAAATAAGGAAAGCACATTCCCAATCTGTCATTCTCCCACCAACCAACATTTCAAATAAATCAAAGACTCTCAAACAAAATGTCTGAAGTTCATGTTCTACTGTTCTGGATTAATCGTGTAGTCAAAATGATATTAGAATTCTTTGAGGTCTGACAAAAAATAAATATTTTTAAGCTGGTTAGCATTCCTTCATTTGAAATATTAAGATAATTGAAATTAATCCCTTCTTTTGGCCTTGTACCATATTAAGTAAATATCAGTAAATTACAAAGTAATAATAGTGTGACTAACCTAATCCCAAATTTCCCATAGTTGTAAAAAGAGCCTTACTGTTAACAAACATAAAAGTGTGTTTGGTCTATGAAATCAAAAGAAAACTCCTTTTTTTTTTTTTTCAAAAATAACTTGATTAAACTTAACTTTTTAAATCAACATCTACACTATAAAGAAGACCTTACACACTCATATGTAATATATACACTGGCATGAAAAACTTTTGGGACACGTTGGTATTAATTACTTTTGTTAATTTTAGATGCAACTGTCTCTTCTAATTGACATTTATTAGTAGTATACTCTTCTCAGTACATTCTATGATCTTTGAGGGCCAGAAAAACATTTTTTTTAATCAATTCGCCCGAAGCAAGGCAATAATGCTACTAAGATGCGAGGGGCAACTGGGAGTGAAAGAGAATGGCAAAGACTTTAGAATGAACCGGAAATCCATTCCTAAATATGCATCAAGGGGTAGGCTTCTACTCCTGTTCAAAAAACTGGGGAGGAGTATGAATTGGACAATAGGCGAAACTATCTCCTCCTTCCAAATGTTAATGTATTTTTATGAATTTTGTATAGTGGATGACATCTTAAGTAAAATAATGCTGAAAAAGGCCATGCAAAAATACTGGGTCACCATTGAAAATTTCACTTTTCAGCTTATGTTGAACCATCTTCCACATCAAAATGACAACCATCATGTTTATTTTAGCAGAAACTTTAGCCATGATATTAGTGTAAAAAAATAGCAAGCTAATATCCAACTACAATGACTTTCCAAGGCACCTTACACTCGTGTAAATCAGATGGAACAATTCCTATTTAAAAATTTGCTTCTTATTATGTCTTTATCATCTCAGATCTTTCATTGGTCCAATGGTTTTGCATGGACATTTTTCAGCTTCAAGCGGCTTAAACTGGTATATTTTCTGTTACACAGCACCAATGAAAGCCTAATAATTTTTTAATTCTCAAGGTCTGCAGACACTACTGATAACAGAAAACTACTAACCAATCTTAACTTCTCAAAAAAAAAATAAAGGTGTATGTAAGGAGGCACAATGGAGTAATGGATAGCGGCTTGGATTGAAGAATCAGAGAGCCAAGTTTAAATTCCAGTTGAATCCATTACATTCACCTATGTGGTAATAACTTTGGGAAAGGTATTAATCCTCTTCTTCTCCCACCAGCTATGGGTAAATAGCAGGACAGACCAAGTTTGATAGTCTTTGGTTACAGAGAGAGAAGGTGAGAAAAAAAGATTGGGTATAATGGGGACCGAGGAAAGGACAAAAGATGAACGGGATTCAAAAAGATAGAAGATGGCGATTGATGTTGTATTTAAATTTTTGAAGATTCTTGTTATCAGAGAAGCAATAAATAGGAAGGTGGTTCCACAGGGGAGAAGTGCATGAAAAGAAACTGTTAGAATAGACGAGACAGTTGCATCTAGCTAGTTCAACAGTAAAACAATGAGACCTGTTTGCCTATCTAGTAGCACGTTTAAATTCATGTAGTCAAGGCAAAGGAGGAGGCACTGTGAAGTAAGGGATAGCGGCTGGGTTCTATAGCTTTGGATGGCAACTGGTCTACTGCAGAAAGAAATGGTAACTTAATGTCGGGGGAAAAAATCTACATCAGTCATGTATTGAAAGATACATGATCGCCTAAGCATGTATCACACATGGCACATAACTACGTAGCTGGCCCCAAAAACTTTGCATGCCAATGTATGCCTATATCTGTTGTGTGTGAGTAACTTGTACGTTCTTGGTTGCCTGTAACTGCAAAGGAACTCTCTTCAATCATCTGCTCACTTCCAGCGACAAGGTCACAGCTGAATGTTCAACAAACACTCCCTCCCCACTCTCTTTTTTTCATGCACATAAATGTAAACCTTTTATTTAAACTAAAACATCTGAAAAGGACATTCATTTCACACAAAACCTTGATCCTTATCAACCGACTTTGAATTACACAAACTTAATTTCTCTTTTTGTATCTCAAGTGTTTTGTCTATATTTCTTAGATGAGAGTCTTAGGGACAAAAAGGAAATAAATCACCCAGAAAAAAAGGGTGCAATTGTCTACTCAGATGGTGTGTGTGGGAGGGGGAAGAGAATGTTACAAAGTGACCAAAATCATCTTGTATTGTTTCTACATGTGTCTTTGTTTTATCTCTGTTAATCTCTGTTAATACTTGTTTTCCTTTTGCTCCAAGTTACACAATAAAAGCAAGTTATTAGAATAGGCAATCACAACAGAGGTATCGTATCTATTTACACTATTTACATTGTTCGAACTGTTGTTCTCACCTTTATTGTCACATTCACAATGTTTCAGCCATTGTACACTCTGGCCTTCTTCAGAATCTGTATATATTTCTGTGATGAGGTATTGTAACTATTTAAACTAATTAAATTGTTCAAACTATTGTCTGCATCTTTATTGTCATATTCACAGCGTTTCTGCATATTTTACGCTCCAGCCTTCTTCAGGAGATATATTGGAATTTCAAACCTTTTATTTCATCCATTAGGCTAGGCCACAAAAATCCTCTAAGCAGGCCAAGCATAGACATGAATACAATATGGGAACCAGTAATACAGAGCGCTAGAGAAAAAAACAACAATAACAGCAAATTGTAATATGAGCTCTGGTAAAAAACCATTACTGAGACATTAGGTTTATAAGTCCCAAAAATTCATTCACTGATGTCCTCAAGGACACATGGCCAAGTAGATAGAATCATTGGTTAAAATAATCCAGTGATTTAACCCAAAGTGTTGTGAGTTCAATACCTGAAGAGATGAGTTACAAAAGGAAAAATAACTGAAACTGAGCTACCCATGGCATGTGGAACTAGAACAATCTACCCCGGTAGACAAAATAAAGGGTTTGGTTCAAAATTCCAATGTTTTTACCTGAAGAAGGCTAGCGTATAAAGGCTGAAATGTTGTGAATATGACAATAATGATGAGGACAATTGTCCGAAATAATGTAAGTACTCAGCTGTTTTGAACCAAAGTTGACCTCAAGAATTTTAGCTCAAAAATCTGAGTTAGGTCTATAGTATAGTTCAACCGCAAACAGGCTACCAGTGGCCAAAAACTCAGACCTACCGATAAATGAAGTTAGGTTACAGTATACAATAACCTGTGCCCAAACTATATATGGTCACACCATTTACCTGTATATTAAGACACTAACCATAATATCTTTTTATATGCAAACAACCTACAACCTCAATATAGTATATGGTACCTATCAGTGTGGTAGGTATCATATATTGTATTGGTATGACATAGCAAATATTTAAAATTCATCAGGTCTACTGATAAACACATTAAAGACAACATCAACTGATATAAAATATTAATACTGTAGATTACACATCATGCCAATTAGTTTATTGAAAGAACTGCTACGTATCATATACTACGTGTCATTACCATCATGAAATTGCACAGATGACATGCATACCATACCATACTATCTGAATGGCTAACTGAGTTAAACTGTACTTCAGTCAACATTTACACTTACTGTATCAGTTGTTGGATGCAATGTTTGCTGTAGCATTAATAAAATACTGAATTAGTCTTACTATTTTGTTATTTTATATTAATTTCTATGTTAATATGCCAAATATGTTCACCAAACATAAGTTTTAACCATCCTGGGTAAGATGATAAACTACATCCGCATCCTGGGTAAAACAATAAACTACATCCGACAGTAAGGCCTCCGATTTGGAGGTTTTTTAGGAGTGTGAAACTACTTCTTAATTGCTGGTGTTCCCAGG